CTGACAGCAAAACATAGCAATTGATAGATACTATCTTTCAAATAATAGTATTAAAATGACTTATGTCCACATTTTCTGAAACAGATAATCCCTTCAAAAATTGTGAGTTCTAATTCTTCCATAGACATGAAGGGCCAGTCACTCTCTGTCAGCCTAAGCAAGGGATGATGTTGTGAGGAAAATAGGAAGAGGAAGAAGTATTATGTTTGCAACTTCGAGTTATTTATAAAAAGAATAATAAACATACAATTAAAAATCTTTTAAAAATCAATCCTGCATCTAACGCTCAGGGTTTCTTTTCAACCCTTCTGCTTTGGAATAGGAAGAGGGAATAGGGCCTAGGAAGCCTGCAGTAATGTCAACAGTGGGTTTTACATTAGAAGCAGAAAGGTGTGGGGGCAGGGAAGAGCTATTTTAAGCACAATAAAGTCACTGGGTGCTGGTAGTTAGTAAGAGCTGCTTAAACGGCCACATTTCTCTAGAGTAAAAGTCACGTCAAGCGCTATACAAATGCAAAGAACCATGCTTGAAGGAAAGGAATCAATCGAACAGCCCGAAGTAGCAGGGAGCTAACAGAACACAACTTCCAGACGGTCCCAACTCCTAAAGTCGATGGTACTCCTGGCTGTCGCTGCCGTTCAAGTCGAGACGCCCGTAACTTTGGATGGCTGCCCCCAAATGCTAAAATGCTAGTATTTTATTCCCGCACCTCAGAGCTAGAGCAATCTTCCTTGACGTCTCTGCATGGACACCCATTAATTTCCATAAGGGCGCTTAATCTCGGCTTCAGTGCGAGTTTGGGGAATGAAGACACAGGTCTGCGGTTGCATTAATTGATCGGATTCTTTCTCGTACTCCCGCCTTTCTCCTAGGTGTATATATTTAGCTAGCAGACACCCAGGGGTTTTTGAAAAGACTCCCGAGTTCCCTCCTCCCACCTCCCTGCAGCAAACACGTTCAAGAACTGCTTGCAGCAGGGGAGCAACCTAGACTCTCATCTATTTGGTTGATTACAGCCGTAAAACAGAAGACGTGTAATTTCAGTTCTCGCTCCAGATCTTGGGCTTGATTTCCAGGGCCCCACTTATTCGGGGGAGGGGGAAGAGACGCTGTAAGCTTTATTTGTCCTCGTCCCTATTAGCTATGCAGCCAATCTATCATTTCCGGCGGTGCTTCCATCTAATTACCGATGTATATAGATGTGACGTGCAAAGAACAGCCGAGCTGTCTGCTTGGCTTTGCGTGGACTCCTCATCGGGAACCTTTCCAGAGAGGGCTGGAGCGCTGGGAGTCTCCGCTCCAGACAAAGAGAGAGAAAAAAGCTGATCCGCGCTGCAGGGCAAATCCAAAGCAAATCAGCTTTCCCGGGGGCTGAGAAAGGGTCTGCGACCTGAGGCAGGGCGGGGGGAGGACGGGGGGCGGGGAGGGACGGTTCATCGGAAAGGATGAGCGTTTGTATTCCTCCGAGAGTGTTGCCGTAGTCTCGTTTCCCCTTCCCCATCTCAAAAAATAAAGCATAAATCGAGGCGTGCTCGCAAAGTCAGAACCACTATTTACCCTCTTGAGTCTGCAGGCAAGTCTAAAGCGCCTCAAGGCAGCGGAGGGTGAGTTTATGCCTGGGTTGGTCCGGTTGTATGAAACAAATATAAAGAAGCCAGCCAACCCAGCAGCAGTGTGAAACAAAGTCAGTCCTGACCGACGCGTTTCCTTACTTTCCAAACCCCACCCACAACCGCCGTTGAAGACGGAAACTGGATTCTGCTCCGAAGGTTGTTTGCCGAAAGATCTTTGCCCGGAGAGCTCTCCGGCTGAGCTTTGTCCCTTCATGTCAGGCGCGCGCGCGCGCACACGCACACACTCCCATCCTGGGGAAAAGCGATCTGTCGTTCTCCAGCTTGATTCTCCCTCCTCCACGTCTGGCTTGTCTAGTCCTCCTCGGTATTTGTCTGGCTCTGCACAACCAGGACATAGGGTTAAGCGGGCTCAGTGGAGTTCCCAAACAAGAGGAAACTTTTGGGAACGGAAAGCACTGGCACTCGCCTTGAAAAGGAGATGGGAAAATTATGTTCACAAGGCATTTAGATAACAAGGGTGAGCAACTTAAGGGTTCACCATGATCTGCCCTAAGAAAGCACACAACCATAGCCACTGACTAACCTGGTCTATTCCTTTAACGCACAAAAATTGAGTTAGTGCCCTGATCCGTGAAGGGTTAACAACACCCATTCTCAAGCACCGAATAACGTGCTGACCTTTTTCTCTGCGTCTCTCCCACACTCCCTTTCAGGCTCCGGTTCTTTCGCTCGGAAGGAGCCTGAACGGCTGTCTAGACCGATCTATCATAGGCGGTCAAAACAATACCGGTCTAAAGCCTCTCTTTTTTCCATGTCGATTGTTCTATCTCACCTTCGAGAAAGGAAGGGGGATAAAGAAATTGTCTGCCTGCCAGTCCCACAGACCATTCAGAATGCTTATAAGATGTCCACCTTTCTGCCAGATAAATGGGATATTGCCCGCTTTTTTTTAACAGTCGCCAGAGACGCTCCACTCCTTTCTGTTCCTATTCTGTAACCCTACGGGGAGAAGGTTGGGCTCATTCAAATATAATAAATCAAATGAGTGAACCGGGGTAAGAACAGATTAGAATCTAGGCTTCCCAGGCATCCCCAAATTTAATCCGCCCCTCGAAGGGGCTTAGCCCACAGATCCAGTTTCCTGGGGTCGCCATCCTTATTTCGAAACAAGGTAGTTTGTGTGGTCTGAACTAGATGGCAAATTCTGCCATGGGTGGGGAATATACAGTGCACCTTTGTCAAGTATACTTTGGAGATACGCACAACTACTAATTTCGAGAACTCTCCCGAGTTTAAGTCCAGCTCGAGAGAATATGGGGGAGAAAAAAGATTAACCCCCTTCTTTACAGCCCTTTTAAAATCAAGTAAGAGTTTTGTTCCCTTGTTCCCACGAAAACAAACCGACCACCATCCACGGAAACACATACATGACTTGAAAATTGGGTTGAAGAGAAACCTGAGAATAAGCACAAGTCTCCTGGTTCTCTAGAGCAGGTCCACTGCTTTGCTGTAAGGGAAATGGTTTGAAAATTGTTATCCATATCTCGAGGGCATCGCATCGCGGGACAAGCCTATTGGTGCGACTACAGTATTTCCAAAACAAAGTTGCTACAGACAGCGAGCGAATAAATAGTGGTTAGAAAGGTGGTAAAGGAGGACCCATTTGTCAAGGATGAATACCTAATGCCCCAGGACAGCGATTTTTGATCTGTAGGCTCTGTCCCCAATGCCCCAGAGAAAGGCTGTAAGGGCGTTTGGCCTTTTCATGTAAGAGTGGGGGAGGTGAAATCCCGCTTCTTATCTTGGTCGGCAGATAGACTTGGAGGGGCCCCGCTCAAGGATCCCTTTGCCCTGGGCCTCCTTCACAAGGAGCCTCGAGCAGGCAAAAGTTCAGAAAACCTTGACAGATCTGGACTCGGCACAGGTCGTCCTTCCGTCAGCGTCCTTTTCAGAGAAAGGAAACACAAAGCCACAGGCTTCCTCAGAACAGACGGAAACCCCAGAGGGAGGATCGTTAGAAAAATAATGCGGAAACAGGCTCCTGGGCGATCGCCATTAAATAAAAGGCATTTTTTTTGCCAAAATCCTATTGCGGTGGTAAGACATTCCTCTCGAACCAGCCCTCTTTTCGGAGCCGCCGACGTACCTCGCTCTTGTGAGTTTGAGATGTAGCCAGCATGCCAGCACGGAAGGTGAGCGAAGCGTCACAAGCGAAAGATCGCCCCTGAAGCAGCTGGGCGAGACAAAAAGGAGCTACGTGCCTCAGACACGGTGCTCTGGCATCCCTGGAGTCGACGGGAAAGTGAGGAGGGGGATTGCAAACAATCTTGCTGGCCCCTTTCTCTGCCCCAGGGGACTACCAGACAACTTTTTAAGTTAAGAAAGAGGAGACGGACCCGCGAGATTCCCAACTGTTCTATTGGGCCCCACGCTCTTCACACACATCCTTTGAACCGGAATACTACCACTGGAATATCCCCTGCCCACCCCACCAAATTTAGCCTCCAGTGGCCTCAAAAACCACCGGTGAAAAAACTAGTCACTGCCCCCGCAGGCTTTCTCAAAGAGTCCCTAGGAAAACAAGCACACCCACTGAGATACAGAAGTCGTTTTCCTCAGCCACACGTCGTTGTTCAGTTCCCGGCACTCATCTTTTTTAGTCCACTGCTCAGCGATCTATAAGGACGAACCAATGAGCCTTTCCAGCAACACTTCCCGGGGCCCTGAGCTTCCTCGATCGAGCTCTGAGCGTTTTTCTTCTCCACCCACACTCCCCATTGCCCCTGGGAGCCGAAAAGTGGCGGCTGCCAGGTGGGGCTTTTACAGGCCTTTCCAAATCGGAGAGATAAGAGAGAATGAGACGCCGTAAGGTCTCCCTCCCTGCCCCCACTTTCCTGCTGGAGCAGACAGACTGAGAGCGGCAGCTTCTCTTTTCACGTCTCTCCATCGCCCCCCCCCCCCGCACTGCTTCACAGCCCAACTGCTTCCAAACTTCTAGCCAGCCCGCACGACACACCCGTCCCCGGAGTACCCCACCCGCAATTCTCAGCCAGGGGATATCTAGGCTGCGACCGCTGGATTTGCTAATCTCTCTGCCTTCTCTATTCCGCCTTCCTCCTGGGATTCCGGATCCTTTCAAGTTGAAATAAATTCTGGCAACAATCCCAGCCCTAGAAAGGCAGGCTTCAAGCAAGGCGCGCGCTGTCTTTTTTTTTCTTTCTTCTTCTTCTTCTCATGCGCATCCCAGCCACACCTGGTGTGGAAGGAAAAAAAACGCCTAGCCTCGGTCTTACTTTAGCACAAGCCGAGAAGTCTAAACTAGAAGACAAATTCTTCGGACTAATCAGGCTTGGGGTCCCTCGGGTGGCTTGCCCGCCGCGGCCTTTCCGCGAAACGCGAGGAGCATTCAATGTGAAGATCACTGACCTTAGTCTCCGCTCCAGAGACGCTGCCGGGGACAGACTCCAGCGCTGCCGTCGCCTGTTCCTTTTCCAGCGACTCGCGTCCGTTTTCTAGGTGAGCGAGAAAAGTTTGACGACCTAGGAGACGAGAGGCCGGAGTTGCCCCAGAGACTGACAAAACTGGCCCCGGCTCAACTAGGCAGAGGCAGGTGGGACCGGGTGGGCGGAGAGAGGCCGAATGCCAGCGTTTCCCTCGGCTGAGTTCAACAACCCGCCGGGCTCCCTCCAGTTGCTCTCTGGCTCCGCTTTAGTAACGCCATGTTGCTGCTGTGGTTTCCCGGGACTGATCTTGGCGGCGCCTACAGGCTCCTTTCCCCCTCCCTTCGGAGAGCCTGTGTCCTGGCTGCGGCTGCAAGTGTGCGTGTGTGTGGTTGGGCTGGCTCTGGGGATTTAATCCACAGGGAAAGCCGTTCTTCCTCACCTTGCCGCTGGGAGAGCGGCCTCCGTCTGCTGCACGCTGCCCCCCCCCCCGGCAGGGCCTCCTCCTCCTCCCCGCCCCTTTCTCTCTCCACCCCCGGGCTTAGCACTCAGGGAGCCGCCGCCAGGAGAGGCAATGCCGTCGCCGTGCTCGCCCAGCGAATCTCTCTCCCCTCACTCGCGAGTGCCTCGCTTTTATCTTGTTGCAAGGCCCTTCGCTTTCTCTTCTTAATTGATTCTTCCTCCACTTCTCCGCCCCCCTCCGTTTCCTTGTCGTTCTTTCTCTCTTGGCTGATCTGGTCTTAGCAAGCCCCCCTTTCCACACGCCCTGCCTGCTTCTTCGCCTGAGGGCGTCCTGAGGAGACTCCGCTCCCCTTTTGACCAAGAGAGGTTAAAAAGGAAAGTCTCCCGCCCCCTCCAGACTCCCTGCTGGGCTCGCTACCCAGAAGGCCAGTGGAGAGCTGCAATTACCATAAAGCTCCTTTCCCTCCGCTTAGCCAAGCTGTCAAAGCTCCGGCAGCAGGCGCAGCCAGACACCAGCGCTAGACCGCCGCACTCGCCGCCCGGGCTGCCTTGTCTTTTCGCCCCAGCAGTGCGGTCGCTTCTTGCCTCAAGATGCGTCCCCCGCCTTCTCACAGCACCTTTCTGTGCCGCTCGCAGCTGCCCCTCGGCCTCCATGATGGCGAGGCAAAAGTGCCCATGCCGCAGAAGTCATCCTTGTTCTCCTTGCTAAGGGAGCAGATGCCTCATGCCGTTTTCCCCCCTCCAGGTGAGACCATTCTCTGGCCGCCACGTTTTTCCTTCTGCTCTCATATCCCCGAGAGCCCCAGAAGGACTGTTTCTTTGTCTCCCCTCCCACGCGCTCTATTGTCACGCAGTGTACCCCTTTCCCATATGCCCCACTGCACTTTCCCTCTTCTCTCACCAGCACGCTCCCCTCCCCCCACGGAATTGCCTCTCAGGGTCTCCTTTTTTAAATACGGTGTGTGTGCTCTGCCTTCATTCCAACCTATACTTAAGTCTCCCTCAAACGAACCGTTTTCCATTATCTCGCTTCTCCAGAAGCATACAAACCGTCGTTCTCCTCGAGAGTTTCCCTCCTCCCGTGTTTTGTTAATCGGCTCTGCACCCACAGTTCTTCATTTGGCTCGTCTTCCCTATTCGCTATTTTTGTCCCATCGTGGGATGCTCTGTCTTTCCGCCCCCGCCCCGTGCCTTTCTGTTGTAATGAAAAACATTCGTTTTTCAGCAGCTACTTTCCGAAATAACAAACGGCTTCTCTTCGTTTGATTTCTGAAAGGCAATGCTCGATAGTCAGAGACCGTAGTCTCACTCTAAAATTTCCAAACACGTTTCTATGTGACGTGGAAATCGCGGGGAGCGCTTCGCACGCGGCTTCTCTCAGTACAATTTGGATCGCTGGGACGCTAGTCCTTTGGCGTATCGGCTGCTAGAGTGGTATTTTTGACTTAGTAGGTCAGCTGGTGAATGTCGGGTTTGCGACGCCCATCTTGACTGATACTCGCTTATTCGGTTCTTCCGCTCGCGACTCGTGGTTCTATACTGCATTCAGCGGTGGCTGGAATTCACAAGACGCAATCTACAGGAAATAACTCTGTACCTCAAGAAGTGGGGGGTGCGCGCGCATTCCATGGCCATTTATCACAGGAGTAGGGTAGTACCATTCCTCATTACAGAGATTTATCTATCGTGTCAACCAACCAGTGTTTGGCCCATACGTTAACAGTGAAGACAGGCTTCATTTCATTACAGGCTTTATATCGCAACAACTATGGCTGGATGATGAGATACATCTCTAGTGAAGAAAGGTACAAGTAGAGATTGCTAAGTATGTCAGCAGTCCATATGCATATGATTTGGAGCAAACCCCACTGAGCATGATGGGTCTGATTTTGTAAGAAACCTGAGCAGTAATTGTGCAGTCGTCTCCGATTCTTACTTCCGATCCTTGCCGAAAAACTTCCAACTATGTAAAAGAACTGTGGATCTAAACATGCTTTTCAGAAAGTCAGTTATATTCCGTTGAGACCTGCTTCTAATTGGACAGTTCTTGTTAATGACCATGAAAAGTAGCAAGTTTGGAAAGGGACCATAAAGCAGCCCGGTGAAAATGAATGAAATTTTATTATCACCCACCAGAGTGGTAATTATATCCCCACCCCCTTTCATCCCAGTCTTCAAAAGCGATTATAAGATGTTTACATCAAGACCCCAAAAAAGTAGAGAAAAGAAGATCCAATACACAGAACTCCAGAAAAATTATGATCTGCCTGTTTGTCATCCAGAAGTCCAGGAATCTGTGGGGGGAAAGAAAGCACGTTTAAACCTGAATCCTAGCTACATTTTCCTAGTCTAATATGTGACTTACTCAATATGCCAGAACACTTCTGAAATTCCCCTTTCTAATCATGCAAATCTCTTATGTTTAAAGGAAAATAAATAAGAGTTCCTTTGAACAACTTTCTGGTCTGAAAGCATTTTATATAGTTCCTGCTTTTGGCTTGCACCTTTATACCATAGAAAATAAAGGAGTGAAAGTAGGAGTGAAAAATTTGTAACCTAAAACCTTGGGTATACACACAAGCTTTTCAGCTTTTTAAACAGCTGATAGAAAGAACAAAAAGACATCGATTTCCTAAGCAGTCGAATAAATGCTCTTAAGGGGGAAGGGAACAAGTTTTAAATGAAATGTCTCTCCTGAACTGCAAATGCTTTGCAAAGATTTTCCTCATAAGTGACTGAAAAGAGAACTTAAATCCGTTTTGGTCTATTCAGTCTTGTTTTCTGTTCATGAGTTTATATATCTGAAGACATTGCACTCATTTTCCCCTCCCTCCACCTCCCATAAGGAGCACAAGGACTCCCCTATTATTCTGTAATTCTGTTTAAAGCATACATTTTAGAACTAATGTAGACATTAACATTTATTGGCTGAACCCACATGGGATATAGTCGCAGCTAAAAACTGAAGGTTGAATTAAGTAGAACTAAGATGTTTTACTTCACCTTCCTTTTTGGAGTTACCAGATTTAACTGGTAAAGTTAATTATTTCCTAATTTAAACCCTTCAGGTGCTGTTCCCCCCCCCCCAACTTTCTGAAGCATATGTTATCACTCATCCAGTGTGATGCTGTAGCCTTAAACGAACTTGAGTTGTCAGAGGACTATGATCCGACCCTCTTAAAGATAAAGTCCCCGGCAATCCTGGGGAGGCGTGCCACGTTCCTGGCTGAACCCAGACTGCCTGATTCCAATTACTCCCTTGCTTAACCGGGTTCTCTGGGCTGCCTATGGAAGCTGCATTCTTCCATCACTCCCTCATGGCACAGAGGCCCTTGCAGCCACATTCTTAGTGAAAACCTCGACTAGTTGGTTTTCTGGCCCTCCTTTGCGTGCGCTGGGTTTTTCCCCTCCCCTCATTTTTTTCTTCAGGATTTCCTGAGACTGCAAATCCTCGGCATCCCCAGCGGCCCAGCCACGGCCTTGGTGGTGTTTCGCTCCTTTTCTCCTATCCCCGTGGTGTCTGGCTGAGCAGAATCCCCGCCGAGGGACATGCAGGCGAAGGAACTGAAATCGCCATCGTCAGACACACACACACACACACCCTCGCCTGTCCTCGGGGAGCTGACTTAGAAGTCAGGCCGTTGTGCTACACTCGGGAAAGAAAAACTCGAGAGCGAATTGCAGACAGAGGCGCTCCAGATGGTGTTTATCGAAAGCTAACGAGAATTTCACGCCCAGTCCTGGGTAGGTATCCTGCCTACCTCATGAATTACTCCTGAAGATACTGCTTGTGTTAATGGCTGGCCATAGGGGAAATGGGATCTCGGTGCTGCTGGCTGCTTCCGCCTGGCTTCTCCTAGCTACTCTGGCCAGGCAAGGGGTTCACTGCGCTCCTATTTCTTAACTCCGCGTGGTTGTTCGCTCCCCCTTTTCCCGGCAACAATGCCCAGAAAAGCAGGAGATTGGTCTTCCAAGGCACATTATCAATCAAAAGGGCCTTGCGTGCTGGAGGCCCGAGTCTGATCAACCTCCGCCCTCGATTCAGTCCTTTTCTCCTTCCTAAGGGTGTCACTCACATTAAATTCATTAGCGCTTTGCTCAGTTCGGGAGGGGGCTACAAATAACTCAGCAATTCTGAGCTTTGAATGGCCCTCCTTGAGTGTGCCTTAAATCAAACTGCTGCTATCGCTTCCCGGGAGCCTGGTTTAATAGGAATGTAGAAATCTGAATAGCAAAACATGGCCACCTTGACTTGGCCTTATACAGCAGATATGATCAGTCTTGCACGCCTGATTTAACCATCAGGAAAATAAAAGACGTTGAAATTGCTATTTATTTAACACACACAAACCCTGATTGCAATTGATAGAATTTCTTATGTAGTAATCTAGAATTCCATTTATTTTCCCAACCACTGTCTCCTGATTTCTTACGATATGCCTTTGCTGCACAAAAGTAACCAAATTTTGTGTTGGTATTACAACTATAACACAGGGACCTCTACCCAATGCAGAACCATGTTTTAGCACATACTGTGTTTTATTTTAGAAAGTCAAATACTTGGACTGTATTTATACTATATACTATATACTAAATGAAGTGATTTGGAAGCAGCTTCCTGGATAATTAATGGTTGTTACTTCTGAGTAGACACAATTAAGAATACTGCAGAAGGGATTAAAAACTCACTGGTTGCAATTCTACAGGATAACCAGTAGGCATCTACACTGGTATATACACAACACACTCATATAGTCAGTAGACAGGAAAAAAAACTTGTTTTAGGCATATAGTACACACATACATACACACACTCTATCAACAGAGGAAGAAGGAAAAAGCACAAGTCCTATAGTGCAAATTGGGATTGGCTTCTCTGGCCAAAATACAACTTACTGAACCAAAAAGCTCTGGGAGAGTCAAGGCTATATTCTTTACTGGCAGAAGGCAGTAGTAGTTCCTGTGTGAAAAC